TTTTTGTTGTTACTCTTTGATTTATTACTAGGGTCCCCAAATAACTATTTTCTTTGTTTGTTCCTAGAAGCTCTAGCCAATAATTTTTGGAATCTCATAGGCATATTTGTAGAGAACAACATGGCTGACTTTTGGTAGTTTGGTTTTTGACAGAGGCACAAGAAAAATTATTTAGAATGTCCTTGATATTGTAGCAGGCCGCTAAGTTGGCTATTGCAAAAATTAAGCAATCATCCGTAAATTGGAGTATAGGGATTTTGGGGTCATATCAGTGTTGGATTTACAGCCAATGGCCTAGTTTTGGATTTGCATGGTAAAGGCTTCACAACAAAGGATAAATAAATAGGGAGAGAGAAGATCTTCTTGTCTTAATCATCTATTTGGCTTAAATGGCCTAGCTGAGGATCTGTTTATGAGCACTTGGTAGCTCACTTGTAGTTACACATTCCACAACCCAATTTATCATTTTTTCATGAAAGCCCATCTTTTGTAGTACTAACTGCAGATAATTCCATTCTAGTTTATCATACCCATTTTCCATATCAATTTTGTAGGCCACTATTTCCTGCTCATGGAATGGGTATTTCATGAGTTATTAGTACATTGTCAGCTATTGCTGTCTACTCGGAATGAATGCTGACTGCAGGGGAGAGATTAGTTTTTGAAACATAAGTTTTAGCCAATCTAATAGGATCTTTGAAATTAACTTATAGATGACATTACACAGATTGGAAGTGATCAGGTTTTCTAGGGTTCTTTATTTCTAGGATAAGAACCACAAAAGTTTTATTTATCTCTCTTGTCATTTTTCCTGAATAAAAAGGAAAGGCTTTGGTTGTTTTTACACTCCGATCTGCAAAAATGTGCCAGTACTTGAAGAATTCTGCATTAAGAGCCTCCCATATTTCTTTTTCCTCATTTCCTATTTCTGCAGAACGGAGAATAGTGGGATACGCCTTTAAATAAGAATCGTATGCCAATTTTTATTGATCAAGTTGAAGCGTTTTAAGTAGAGGTAGCAATCTACCAAACAATATCTGAGGTTGGCTGAAGTATTCTTTCACACATTAGAAGCAAGGTTCAAAGCATCAGGCAATTTAGGTTGGCTAGAGGATTACTTTATCCCTTACAAACAAGATTCAAATCAGCATTGCTGGGTGGGGGGTGTTATGAACTGAAACTCTGAAGGGGGTTGTTATCTAAAACATGCCAGAGGAATACCATGGCAAATTGTAACTAAAGCTTCGTTTGGATCTGGTGTACATTGATGACGTTTTACACTGAACCGTATAATAGGTGACCGCTATATTTTGAAAACCGTGATAAAAAAGTATAAAGTTTTAATAATCGATGTAAAACTTTATGCTTGATGAGGTTTTACATTGATCCACAATGTAAAACTCCAGTTCATCCAAACACCAATAAATCTAAACCGGAGTGGAGTTTTACATCGATCTTCATTTATACTCCTTCCAAATGCCAACAAAACCGAACCAGTGTAAACTTTTACATCATTCTTGATTTACACCAATTCCAAATGCAGCCTTGGGAAGAGAGCAAATGTCAGTTTCATGCAAATATGCATCCGGTTCAGTTTTGCCAGTATTTGGAAAGAATGAATTTGTGTTAAAAATGACAGAAGCATGTTTACTCCTAAAATGAGAGGTAATTTTACATCTAAAAATCGTTCAGGAAAAAAATAAATTTATCAATGGAAAACTAAACCAACTTTGCATTTATATGAACCAGAATGCAGTCTCTATTTTTGCATGGCCGTGATGTTCCATAAATTGGTATGGTGTGTGCCTCTGTGGGGAGCAAATCTCGATTCCCCATTTCGAATGGAGAGGAAACAGCATCCACATTAGGTTTTAATAACTTCAGCTGCAGGAGGGAATCAGGCACGATCAGATTCACACATCTGGGAGTTGGCTAAGGTAGAAGGTGATGAAACTTGAATGTAGGAAACCGATTGTTTACTCCCTCAACTAAGTCCCCTTTTGCATCAGAAACTGATTTTTTATTTTTTATCAACCCCCTCCAAGAATAATTAATTTATTGACATCCATAAGTGTCACAAATTATGATCAGACTTGTGACACTGGAGAAAAAAGGATGAGAGCCAATGAGAAAAATGAGTGGAGATGGAGTGAGTATGAAGGCCCAAGTAAGATGTAGAATTGCACCAAGCAATAGTAACAATTCAATAAGAGTAGGCCACATGGCTAAAAGAAATTAGATTACAGATTCTTCAAATTCTTTATTACAAAAGCATTACATCGGTATTTTTAATCTAAAATAAACCCTTTTGTCTATTCATGGGTTACAATTAAGGGTGTCAATACACTAGTTTTAGGTTGGACCCCGTCTAAATCAAAATCAATTTAGATGGAATGGATAGGCCAATAATACACAGTCTAGACTTAATGGTCCAAAGTATTTATTGAATTGAGTGAGATTGAACCAATATCCGGTGCATTGATGGAACATAGGAATACAGGTGTCAATGAACCAGGTCTGGGTTGAACCAATCTAAATTAAAACCAATTTGAACAGATTGAACGGCCAGACATTGAATTGGACTGGTCCAAAATAGTTGGATCTGGTCCATCTGTAATGGAATCAAATTGGACCAGATCCTATTGAACTAAATCCGGTCCAATTGACACCCTTTGTTACAATTTGCCTTGGTTTTATTCCAGCACGTTTTGGATAACCCCCTTTACAGTTTCAGTTCTCGAAGAGAGCATTCCTCAGCAGGGTCCTAACCGTCGTTAAGTTGGGCCATTGCCTCATTGGCAAATCCATCGCACAGTGGTCTGAGAACATATTAAAACGGAAGATTAACTTCTTTATTTCTCATCTAAAGAGATTCCGCATCCGTTTCCCGTGGATTATAATTTGCTTTGCTTTTTCTTTAAGCATGTTTGAAATTTACATATCAAGATAATTTAATAATTCAAGAAATAGTTCGAACTCAAGAAAAATGTAGATATAATCTCATATGTAAAAAAAATAAATAAATAAAAATAAAAACACTGCTATGTTCCCCAGCAAACCTTGTGTTTTTGCAATGCTGATACTTTGAACCTTGTGTTTAAGGCATGAAGTGATCCTGGAGGCAACCTAAATGATGTGTGGTTGCTAGTTGCTACTTCTACCATTGCTACAAATGTGAAGGATACTCCAGCCAACCTTGTTTGTATTTTTACCTAAAAGGCTTTGAGTTGATCAATAAAAATTGGCATATAATTCTTATTTAAATATGCTTTTTTTAAGCAAAGATTCAAAGTTTTTTATTTTTTTGAAACAAAGATTCAAAGTATTGATATATCAAAAGATATGTATCAGTTTTTGAACCTAAGATGCCATGACTCCTTTCTTGAAACTAATAAATATTATAATATTTATAATATTATGATATTATAAATAGTAGTAATTAGAATCGAAATTGAAGTCCTTAGGATTCGGAATCATCTATTCCCATAATCTGTTTGATTCAGACAGGAATTAGAAAGGGAATTTGCAATCAGTTGGAATGGGATTTAATTCCCGAGGGAAGAGGAGGGAATGGGCATTCTCTTAGGCTGTGTTTGGTTTGAAGGAAAAATTAGGGAAACCTTTAGGCTCTGTTTGGTTTGTGAGATGGGGATGAGAAAAAAGGGATGGGGTGAGAAAAAGACGGGATGCGAGATCCCATAAACGAGGATTCGGGGTCGCACCAAAACCGTGCGACCTCAGTGGAAAAACTCGAGAAAACTCGAGTTTCTTCATCTTCATCCTCTGCCCCTCCACTGCTGCACCACCGCCGCTATTGCACCACTGCCATTGCTGATAACCATTGCCGTTGTTTTACCACCACTGCTGTTGGTAACCATCGCCACTGCTAGGAACCACCGTCACTGCTACACCATCGCCACTGCTAGTAACCACTGCCACTGCTGGTAACCATCGCCGCTGCTGGTAACCACCACTGTTGCTGATAAACATCGTCGCTGCTGGTAACCACCGTTGAAGATGTTTCTGCCATGGTAGAACCCAGATCGACACACATACAAATTGGAGGTTTTCTGCCTAGTGGAACTTAGATTTGAGTTCACAGATACAAATCAGAGCTTCAGTCATGGAATTCTCTGTCTCTCCCTTCATCTTCCTCTCCTCTCTTCTCCCTCACCTTCTTCTCTCTTCTCTCTCATAACAGTATTTTTCTATTATTTTTCCCATATATAAACCAAACAATGGAAAGATAATTTTTTATACTTTCCCATCCCATCCCATTCCACCCAAATTTTCCCACAAGCCAAACAGAGCCTTACAAACCTGGTATAGCCGTATAGGTTTCCCTATGTTTCCCTTTCTTTCCCTACTTTTTCCTTCAAACCAAACATAACTTTAAGGGGGAAAATGCCATCCACCAGGAATGGGAATGGAATTCTGATTCCAGACCCCTATTCTTCCAAACCAAACAGGCACTATGAGTATTTAACTCCTTTTAAAATTTTTAATCGTGCAGTACGCTATATTGATAGGGCTGTCAGTGGACCCAGTTTGGATAGGGTCCAATCCAAGAAAATTGGATTTTGATGTCCATTAAATTTATCAAATTAAGTTAACTAGTAACAAGTGGACCATTGTATTATAGGATCGGATTGGATATTATCAAAATGGGCCCATAAAAAATGCAGGTCACATTTTCATTCTCAATCAATTTCTCATTTATGAAATAAGAGTTTCTTCTCTGAAGGGGATTCCAGAGGGGAGAAAGAATGGCTGCAGAAACAAGAAGACAAGTGATATTAGAATGAAATTAAAAAAAAAAAAAACAGGTGGCTAATGATGAAAAGTATGCTGGTGCGGTTTCAATGGGTACAAAAGGGAAGCAAACTTTGCAGCTAACTTAGCAAAGCAACGGATGGAAAGGGATCAAATGTTATGTGAAAGTCCGACGAATATAAAATGGGGGGGATAAGGAGCTTTTATCACCATCAAATGTGTATATATGTTCAGCACAGAATTTCATCTTTTTCATTATTAAAAAATTTTGATTGTTGTTGATAAAAAAAAGTACAGAATCAATACAAAAAAAAAAAAAAAAAACTGTGAATGCATGTGAGGGTTCATGTCTGTGTGCCTACACTGCTTTTAGAGCCAAAGTAGATCATATGAATTCTGAACAACCTGCCGAGAGAGTCGTGGATGTGCATCTAATCAGCTATAACTGAAGCAGAGTATTTGGCTTTCACCCTGTAAAATCCACATTCTTACACTATCTTAAGGATCAAGGCCATGCACATCAAATCCAAAATCAGAATCAAAAGTCAAAATAGAACTGACAAGAGAATACCAGCCCCACTTTCACCTACATTTCTTCCCAAAGTATCATCATTCATCAATATAACCAATGAAAAGGCGTTATTCTTTCAACTTCCTTTATTTTCTTGAATTCTCATGATCAGGATGCAAATGAAAAAGTTAAGGACATGTGTTGAAGCTCTTGGCAACTGTATCGAGTATTTAAAACAAAATGGCTGCACTGACGATGGTACCATTAGGAATGAACTGAATCACAATTTCAACGTTACTGAGGCTGGCTTAAGAACCAAGAAGCTTCTTCCATCTGGCATACCCTAGCATGAGCAGAAAAAGCAGGAAAGAAAATGCCGAGGTACCTCCAACAAAAGAGCCAAAGATACCCTTAATATTATACAACTGGCAAGGTATGTTCATACCGAAAGCCCCAGCTATCAAGGTATCAACAGCTATAGCAAATGATGCAATTGTTAGTGTGAGCTGGAGTTGAATGAGTTCATTTCTTTGGTTGTCAAGTTGGATGTTGACATAGTCCTCTGTGTCATCAATGTATTCCCGAACCTTTTTATCCATATGGAAAAAGAAAATGAGGGAAAACCAAATAAGCGGTAAGTCTCAGAGAAGCATCCACAAGTTTATTGAAGTAGGTTCATCCAAACTACTAGCACCTGATAAGTAGAATCAAAATAAAACATCATGCAAATGTCTCATAATTTAATGCAGTGAAATATGTATGTGTTTGTGAGCGCTTTCTCATGTTGTTGGTAGAAATACATGCATATGGAGTCTACCATGTACATCAAGAAGGAAATATTAACAATATTCCTTCATGGAATCAAAAGATACAGAGCTGCACATTTGGTTAATTATCAGGGGAAAGATGTCTCCAGCAGCACCAGCATCACTTCAACCTCAAATGAACCAGGTTGCTCATTATCTCAGCATATTTTTAGTTCAAAAATATGACTTTCAGGCTTAGCAAATGTACAGTAGGTCCTCATTACTTCTAAATTCTAATAGACTGTTTTTTTTCTTCAGTCAGGCATCCATCATCTACCTCTCTTTTGCATTTCCCTTAGACTGTTGATGTATGTTCTCATCATTACCACTTGAAAGAAAAACCAAAAAAACATCAATTTGGACTTGAAAAAAGATTTACTCATAAAAGAAGGGATAGATGTCGAGAAACTTCATCACTTCAGTAGTGGCATGTCATTCAAATGGATGTTATCAATGCTTTTCTACAATGGTAACTTGAAAGAAACTGTCTATATAAAGCCTCTGCCTAGATACCATACCAATCAGCAATTACTGCATCGTCTCAAGAAATCTCTGTATGGCTTAAAGCAAGCTCTGTGTGCCTGGTTTGAATTTTTTTATCATGTTCTTTTGGAAACTGATTATCATCATCAAAGTGCCTATGGTTCATCACCTTTCTTCTCCCACTGTGATAAGGCCTCACAATCCTTGCTTATGTAGATGATATCCTCATTACTGGTGATGACATTGAGGGTGTTCAACAACTAGGCAATGTTTGGTTCAATTCTCATTCTTTCTCATTCTTACCCAAGATGAAATTCTAAAATGGACAAGAATGGGTAAAAATAGAAAGAATGAGAAAATATTGCTATGAACCAAACACTTTTTTCCTAAAAATGAATTCTTTTCAGATTGACAAGTGTCCTATGTTGCTCATTTTCATTCTTCAAAAAAAAATTGTCAGTATTCATAAACCGCCAGCCTAGGTCTCCAACAATCAATGTTTACAAATTGGCATAGATGTTTTGTAAAAGTACTTTCGTAAAAGTGCTTTATAAAAGTAATTTCATAAAAGTAATTTTGTAAAAGTGCTTTTATAAAAGAACTTTCATAAAAGTGTTTTCAAAAGTACTTTTATAAGTGTTTTTATAAAGTGCTTTTATAAAAGTACTTTCGTAAAAGTACTTTTGTAAAAGTGCTTTTATAGAAGTACTTTTGTAAAAGTGATTTTATAAAAGTACTTTTGTAAAAGTGCTTTAGTAAAATACTTTTATAAAAGTGCTTTCATGTAAAACTACTTTTATAAGAGTGTTTTTGCAAAAGTAACCATCTATGGCAACAACTTTGTGGGCAAAGTGCTTTTGTAAAGTACTTTAACAAAAGTGCTTTCATAAAAGTGCTTTATGTAAAAGTGCTTTCACAAAAGTAAACATCTATAGCAACAGTTTTGTAGGTAGAGTTTCCTCAAAATGAAAATGAGCAAGATGGGGCATGATTATTTTTCATGTTGCAGGCTACTCAATTTTTGTGCTATGGGGCTGATTTTTCATTCTAAAAAGAATGTGGCCCATGGCAAGAATTTTGCAACCAAACACTCTAATGTTATTCATTCTTGCCCATTCTTGCCTAGAATGAGCAAGAATTAATAGAATGAGACCCAGAGTAGTGAACCAAACATGGCCTTAAGCTTTTTTTTTTTTTTTTTGAGAAATGCTAACCAAGATTCATGAAAAAAAAGAGGTACATGAGGAGATGTACAACGCAGGGGAAGAACCCCTACAAACTACAATGGAGGAAGCTTGTCGCTATATAGCTGCTCTAAGAATACGATGAGGAGATGTACAACATGGCCTTAAGCTCTTGATACAGCATTCCTTTAGGATGAAGGATATGGACACTATCGACTTATTTTCTTGGTTTAAAGGTTCAATCTCCACAAGACCGTTTTCTTCAATTCATCTCACAGACTCTAAGCAGGTTGACACTTGACACCCCTATGGAACTCAATGTAAGTTGTCTCATGATGAAGGATAACTCCTGCCTAATCCTTCCTTGTATCTTCAGCTTGTTGGCTACATTATCTATCTCACTGTGACACGTCTAGATATAGCTCACACCATCTGAGGAGTTAGTTAGTTTGTGTCTACTCATTGACATCCTTGTCTTGCTGCCATTCACAGAATTAATCGATATCTTTGTGAAACCATTGACCATAGTTTATTCTTCTCTTCAATTCATCTTTGTGCATACTCAAACGCTAATTGGGCAGGGTATCCAAATACTCATCCCTCTACAACAAAATGGTGTACATTTCTTGGTGATTCTGTTATCTCATGGAAATGCGAGAACAAACTATTGTGTCCAAATCATCAGTGGAGGTTTGAGTATCATATCATCTAAAATCTACTTTCCCTAGGGTTTGCCTCTAACAAAAGTTGACACCTACTATGCAACTATTTTACCCACATCACAGAAAATCATTAAATCATCTACAAACTAAATATGGGTGACCAGAATTCAACGTCTACCTATTCCCCAACCTCTTATAATATCTTCCCTATCAACCTTAGTAATGAGTCGACTGAGCACATCAGCTACTAGAGTAAAAAGGAAAAGTGATAGTGGGTCCCTTTTCCTAACAACCCTACAAACTAGAAAGAAGCCCTTCACCACTCTGTTAACCAAGATAGAATAGTGGCAGGTACTAATACAATCGAACACCCAACTACACCTTTCTCCAAATCCATATTTCACCAAGATCCAATTTACACACAACCTTTTTTCCTAGATCTCCTCATTTCCTCCACACATTATTGGCAATCAAGGTCTGATATGTTATTTGTCTTCCTTGTATGAAAGCTCCTTGGTCTTGGGTGATGTGATGAATTGATGATAGATGGGAGAACTTTAATTCTCAAGGTTAGAACCTTGGCCAAAATTTTTTAGATGCTTGTCACCAAGCTAATAGCCCTAAAGTATTTTGGATGGCTAGCATCAAACTTCTTAGGGACTAGGGCCAAGAAAGTAGCATTGACTCTAGGGCTTACAATGCTAGAAAGAAGCCCTTCTTCTTCTTGAGCCGAGTTAGGCAAAGGGGCCCACTATGTCGGTGACAAGCTAGAAAGTAGCACCGACTCTAGGGCTTACAATGCTACAAGTGGTAATGATGAGAACATACATTAACATCTATCATCAATGATCCTACAAGCTTGTAGGATCTAACTTGTCACCGACAATGCTACTTTCTAGCATTGTAAGCCCTAGAGTCAATGCTACTTTCTAGCTTGCCTAACAACCCGACAATCAATGATCCTATAAGCTTGTCACCGACAATCAATTATCCTACACATTGAATTAGGTTGTTCGATTTGGTGGGTCATTGTAATTACAGATACAACTATTCCTTAGTTGTATCATTAGGATTATGACATATGACATTAAAGGCCAGCCTAGGGCCTTGGACAAATTTCAAGTTGCTTCAATGAAAATGCTTCTGGATAGTTGGACTAAAAATATTTTGAACCACAGATTTCTTTTACAATGGAATAAAAATCATTAAAATAAAAAGAAGAGTACGATACTGGATCATAAGAAATTTCCCTACAAAAAGTAAAGAAATCCCCTCCCCCACCCAAAACAACACCCCCAGACAATCTAACATGAATAGAAATTAAAAAGCAATTAATATTGATGCCCAAAAGATGCCCAAACAAACCAACTGTTTCAATTATCTTTTACCACTCATGTGGAGAATGATTTGAAGAAAACATTAGACATAAAATTGGAATACGGAGAATGCAGTGGAGATGTGCTGCTGGAATATTGTGATTGATGCATGCCAGTCAAAATGAAAATAAAAGTTCACAAGGCAGAATATTGGGGAGAATGACCACTTCTAGAATGGATTTAACTGAGGTGTGGATGTTGAAATGGATGAGTGGAAAGACTAAAGGAAGCATAAAATAAATGCATTTTTGTGATTTTGAGGATAGCCCCCATACGTAACAAGATATGAGGGACTCAACAAAGGTTGTGCTATTGATAAGTGATGCAAGATAGAGACTTTAAACAAGAATGATATGTGGAATGGACAGCAAAAGTAGTGCTGAAAGATCAAGGACCAACTATATACAAAAGGATATGGCCCCATGAAAGGTTAAATATCGATGCAAGATTCATATAGCTAATTCCAAACATTGGGATAAGAATTAACTGAGTTGATTTAGTACATTATGATCAAGCAATGTTCCATAGATTGATGCAAAATTCCTAATATCAGAATTCGGCTCTTCTAATGAATGAAGAAAGAACTAAATAATCTAAGGTTAGTAGCATTTGTTAATATTTTAAAAGGTATAACTTGAAGTTTGTTAAATGAAATGCTTAACAAATATTTTACTTGTAATTTTGTAATTATAATGTTTTTTAATAATTGTATTGTCATCTCATTTTGCAACTGTTAGTCGTGTTCAACGTATTCCATTAGACCACTAAAAGAACCAAAATATAGATCACCATAAATTTAAAAAGAACACCATTTACTATGTGCTTTATCAATTGAAACATGCAAATGAAATCTTCCAACAGGGAAACAGGACTTACTGACAATATTTTGTTACGAGTCCCATCCAGCTGCATGAAATAAGCTTCGAGCAACATCTCCAGGTCCTCCACATCATTATCATCTGAAAGGTTACTAGCGATGAAACTTGCACTCACATTTGAACCACGTCTTTGCACGTAAGGTGCTACAGGGACAATGCTATTGGAAGTTGCAACTCCCAACATTGCCTCAAATTGTTGATTCTGGAGCCGCTTTCTTGATAAATACAAATCTGCCATATCTTCATTGTCATCTAATAGATGCTCAATTTCATCCCTAACCTGTGATTAAACAACTGATTGCCATTAATACTCAAATTTATTGAAAAAAGACAAATAAAAAATAGCATAAAGCAAAAAGAGCATATCAGGATTATTCTTATATTTAGTGGAAGAGATATGAAGAAAGAAAATCTTATGTGCAGTCATGTGGTGACAAATAATGAACTGGTTGATTAAATATAAAAAACAACTCACATTTACCAAGAAAGTAAACATAGTCAGCTACCATGTGCCCAACTCTCTAGAAAAATACCATGTTTCCAATGCAATAACTTGAGAAAAATATATGAAGAAAGGGTAAACCACAAGGAGCTCCCCAATGCAAATGGGGGGAGAGGGGGTGTAACACTTAGCCCCCCATACTATTTTTACTACACTTGGCCCTTTGTGCTTTCATATAAGGTTGAACACCATTACAGTGCCGAGTGAGAAAGCACAAAATAACCCAGATATCATAGTTATGATTTTGAAGCAAAAAATGGAGGTGGTCTTGATGTCTAATCCATGTGGAAACATTTTCTTTGTTTATTTTTTATTAGCAGCAGATAAATCTTATTGATTTATCATCGTCTTCTAGGCCTTACCCCAACTATATGGGGTCAGCTGATAAATCTTGTTGATTTTAACAGAAAAAATAACAAAGAGAGAATGGTGTACATAGATATGTGCCCAGCACCCTGTTTTGGTTACAAGTACATGGCTGATTTCCTCATGCACAGCATAATGCCAGAAATCAAATGTGCCATCTGAACCTGTTTTGGTTCAATAGTCACTGAGCTTGATTAGAAATAAATTAATACTTCCATTGTTAGGTCCCTAAGTTTGGTACTTAGTCTAGTGTACTGTACTTTTTTTTATTTTGTAAGGTGGCCTTAAACTTGTCTTTGGACCAATGAACTTTGTCTGGATCTGAAATCAAAGCTAAAACTTTGCATTATATTGAATTTAAATTGGTAGTCATTAAATTAATATGGTTTCATCTGTTTTTTTTTTTTTTTTTGAGAAAAGTTAACCAAGATTCATTAAGAGAAAAAGAGGTACATGAGAAGATGTACAAAGCAGGGGAAGAACCCCTACAAGTTACAAAGGAGGAAACTTGTCGCTGTACAATTGCTCTAAGAACACACCACATTTAGCTAAGCCATCTGCCGTATAATTGTATTCCCTAGGAATCCAAACTAAATTTACATTTAGGCAGTCCAAAGAGTCCCTGGCCTCTGCTAAATAGTGACTCAATCTCCAAGGTCCCCCCTCTTTGTCTCTTAACCATTTTATAGTATTTTCTGAATCACCTGCAATGGTTATATTTTGGATTCCCAAACTTTTTATTATTCTGATTCCTGTGAGGACAGCCTTTACTTCAGCCTTTGTAGAATCTGCCACGCCAATTGAACCGCTAAAAGTCCAGCAAATGTAGCCCTTTTCATCCCTTATTGTTCCTCCAATACCAGCTAATCCGGGATTACCTAAATCACTTCCATCAAAGTTTAGGATCATCACTCCTTCACTGATGGGTTCACGATATCTCAAGGGTGATTGATGGAGGTGAGGGAGAAATAGAAAGGGGTAAGCATCTCTATTGAGGTCATTGACTGAGACTCCTTTGAAAAGATCTGAATTCACCATCCAGAGGTTGCACAGGTAAGAAATGTCTGAAGTTAATTCCTCCAGGGGCCCGAATTTGTTGTCAAACAGCCGTTTGTTTCTTTCATCCCAAACTCCCCACAGCACTGCATGTAAAACTGATTGCCAATAAATTTTGCCCTTTTACTTAAACCTGTTCCTTGCCACTGATGTAGAAAGTCCATAACATGCTATATAATTATACAAAGTACAAACTTCCTACATTCTTAGACTGTACCCAATAAATTAGAAGTATTGAATAAGTTAAAATGTTTGTCAAAGATTCCTGAAATTTTGTTCACTGTTCATGTTTTAAATATCAGTAGGCTCCCTTAGGCCTTAATAAGGCCTATGATTGACTAGAAGGGTCCTTTATTATCAATGTCATGGAAAATTTGGGCCTCAATCATCACTGGCATTCTCTTGAGGAGTATGCTGAAGCATCAAGACAACTTATAGATTTCCAAAAATCTGAAGTTTCAGCAAAACAATTCCTCAGAAGTTCATAAGAATCTTGTCAAGAATGTTGGGGATCAAAGAAGGCAGAGGCCAATCGAAATATTTAGGCCTCCAAGTCCATTGGCCATAATAAAAAGTTGATATTTGCTGAAATGGCTGATGAACAAACAACGAAATCCAAGGCTGGAAATGTGGCTCTTTGAACTAAGGAGTAGAGAAGTTCTAATAAAAGTAACAACCATTCCTACTCCCATGTTCAATATGAATCACTTCAAAATTCCTGATTCTATTTGCAATAAGTTCAATGGAAATTTTGTTAACTTTGTCTAGGGACAGAAGAGGAATGGATGTAAAATTAACTGGGTCGCCATACATCGTTTATATGTTCTAGTAAGAGCTTAAGAGGGATGGGTTTCAGACTTTCAGGGACCTAAAGAGTTTAATTAGACCCTTCTTGCCAAGGCTGCATGGAAGATGCTGTGTGAACAAAATGCCTTGTGGAATACCATGTTAAAGAATATCTACTTCCCTTGAACTGATTTTTTATGATTTTATCTACCTCCTTGGACCGTCTACATTATTGCTCTTAGAGGAGTCTCGTTTATGGCCTTGCTCTGCTAAAAAGGGCTCTTGTGAATAGGAAATGAAAGGAAAATAATATTTCGTAAGATGTGTGGATCCCCTCTCTCGCTCATTTAAAGTAATCTTTGAGAAGCTTGTTGATTGTACGTTTGAGCATGAAAATGACTTCATTTTAAACAATCCTCGCTGCTAGAATCTCAATGTGCTTCACGAATTTTGTTTTTCTCCGGATGAGGTGCTAGCAATTCAGAAGATCCCCCTCAGTATTCTTGATTCAAAGGATAAATTAATCTAGGATTTCATTCACCAAGGATGGGAGATATAATGTGAAGAGTGGTTATCACACAGCTACGATGGTTGTGTAATCAAGTCAACAAGCTGAACCTTTATCTCGTTCTAGCAGTTGTCCTCAGTTAGCAAACCAAATTTAAAGGAAGGTTTGGTTGATCCCATCTCACCCTGTTGTGCTTGGTTTCAAGGAGAAGGGCCTTTCCCTACCTTTACTTTTCACATCATTCAATTCCTTCTCATTAAGTCTAACATTTAAGGTATTAACTCTCATCTTCTCTAATTGAATCATATATTTAAATTATTTTCTCACCAATAAATTCTATCAAGTAGATCTATATCCAATGCTTTTAATTAACTATCTAAATCTCATGTTTTTTTAAAACCAACCCAAAGTCAAACTATTCCTTTGTCTTGGTGCAGATAAGCAATTCAACCATTTAGGTCAAATGGGTTGGTTAACCCATGATGTCATAGTTAAATAGTAAAACTTTTAAAATAGAAATAAATACAAAAAAAATTATAACATGCATCACTATTGCCAATTCTCTTATCTCCCCCATAGTGTATCTTTACTTCCACGGAATTGTTCCCCTACTTGAAAACCAATTTATTATCATGATACAAAAAGAACAATTCGTCGTATCACAAAATAAGATAATATAGGAGGCTATGTCTCACACCCCCCAAAAGTATAGAGAGGTCCCTATAATTTACCCTATAAAGTTATAAGAGAGGTATAGAGAACATCTTGACTCCCCCACCAAGTCCTGAGATCTGCACCTTCAACCTCTACCAAAGGTCCAAAATAATGCCTTTCCTTTTATCACCCATCTGCACCTTTTCCTCTTACCATTACTATGTCATACAAGCCTATATTCAATTTCCTGAACCATTCCATTCCACTGAACAACTCATACTGTGCCACCATTGGTGTTGCTGGTCATTTGTTTATTATGTGAAAGGATTTAATAAGGTTAACAGGAGAAAGAAAAAGGATAGACAAGGCAGAAGATTGAAGGATTTATATGTACTACTGCAGTGATAGATTATATTCACATAACAATAAAAAATAACAACCGTATGCAGAAAGCAAGGAGAAATCAAAGAATATTGAAAGTAATCTTTTGATCATACCTTCTGTACACGTGCAAGCAACCGGGTAAGGTTGCTTTTCAAACCCCTGACATGTTCAAGATTCTTAGTGCTAACATTTCGAGCTAGTTCATCCAAGACTGGGTAAGCATCTTTCTCAAGGTCTGCCACACTAGTATCCAGATATGTACAAACAACCTCTAGTGCAATCTCTAGGACTTGAAACTCAAAAGGAAGCTCACACTGCAAACCTTCAGCTGCTTCAGGAGCAGGCAACCATTTCCCACCATTTAAGGGATAGTTTTCTTTTTCTTGTACATCTAACTGACCATCCTCATGATTCTTAAATGGGCTTCTATGAGGAAGTTGTTGCCTCAATTGATCAACAAAAGGAAGTACTTCTTGGGACAAAGGATCCAATACCAACACTTCTTCAGCAGTAACTATGGCTTTTATAAATTCTAGATTGACAACCATGGCTTTCTCTCTGGCTACAATGGATGCACAGAAACAGAAAATTAGTATACCTTTCACCAACAATCAACAATGATCCAACAGAATTAATCCATTTTTGAAATCCAAAAGTACTCATACTCTTTGAGGACAAAAATTAGAAGCGTAAGATGCTCTCACTGGCATATTTTGAATCCTATAGAATACATTAATTTTCTTTTTATCCAATACTACTACAAATTACATGAATGAAGAAGTTTAGAATAATAAACATATACCAAGAAATAGAAAACAGGATATAAAGTCCACACAGTTCCTAACATCTAACACAAAGAAAGGGGCCATTTAAGTTCTAGATTGGAGAAAATGGAAAGAAAGAACAGTTGCCAACCTCAATTTCCTTCTTTTATCCATTTTCTGAACCCTGCTAACATCACAGGCCATACAGATGATATCAGCAGTTGGTGAACCTGGTCTAAATAAAAAGGACCATCTCATAAATTGGGGAATGGTATTTAAAACCAATGAAGATGATGGACTGACTGGGGATTGGGAAGTGAAAGATAAAAACACTGAAGACTGCACTCCTGGGTAAATGGCTCTAGAGGTTCCTTACAAAAGTTAAATGTCTATGACCTTTGGTGATCAAAACTCAAAAGTGTGTATGCCTTAAAAGAGGATCAGAGTTGGACTAGGAAGATTTAGATCGACTTCAGGTTGTGTTTGGTTAGATAGAAAATAAGAGAGAAACAGAAAGTTGAGGGAAAGTTCTTAATGAATTTTGTGATGTTTCTTAAGAACTTTCCCTCAACTTTCTATTTCTCACTTATTTCCTATCAAATCAAACATAGCCTATGGAATTTATCATTATTTAGGAAATGGTTATAGAAATTTCCTTATGGTGTTCATTATGCAAGGTTGGAGATTTTGATTCCTAAGACAACTATAATCTTGTTTACTATTGAAACTAAATTACAATTTCAAAATTTTCTTGGAACTTTATCAAACCGTCAGATTAGGTACAAATGAAATTTAGAAATTCTCTACAAGAAATGTTGTTTATGAGTATCTAACCACAAATAGTTGGCACAAGGCTTCGACAATGATGATTGACGATGAAGCCTTGTTTATGAGTGAGCTGAGTTTCAAGTTGGAAACATCTCTGAAATTCAGCAGGTAATAGTTAAATTTTCAATTAAACATCTAAACTGGTAAAGCATGAATAGACAATGTGTCAATACCACCTTAAGATGAGGTTTGGTAGAATTTAAACAACTAGAAGATTATAGAAATATTACAACTCTTATTTATTATGATTTTGACGGAGTATGATTCTAATCAGTCTCGTCTCCCTTTTTTCTCCCATTTTCTTCGTTCATCCTCTTTAATAAGTTGCTCAATTCATCAGTATTAGCAAAGAAAATGCCTTCAAACTTCAGAATTCAGCCAACGATTGCAGATGATATGATAATAAAAAAGAAATTCGGATTCTACAATACAGAACCCCTCCCCCAGGTTGCAGCGCGTCATCTATAAGCTGTATATAACACAATAAGATGTTATGGTACAACAATGGAGAGTTGACCACTTTGTAATTGGCTGCGTTTGTTTCTCTGTATAATGGATAGAAACCTTTTTCAAACTGAAAATGAAATATTTCGGCCATAATCCCCGCCTCTTTTAATTTGTTTCGACGTAAATGGCAAGGAAAACAAAGCTTTCATCCTAAAAGGAGCAAAAGCATAGCTCAATTCTTCAGCCTAAAAATTCCGTTTATTTTTAAATGAAACAATCCGAGCCTAATTTAAATAGAATTCCTCAATCAAACAAAGCAGAATATCAAAAACGCTCGCCAATTAAAGGCGAATCGGTGGAAAAATCAAAACTATATTCTTACCAAGGATATTGGAGGAGTGAGAGAAAACGGGGCCGAGGATTCTCAAATCCCTCGCTGGAATCGAGACGCGCTTGATGATGGCGTTCTTGTCGCATTCGATGAGCTCCGACTGGCCAAAGCAATCGAAACGCATCCATAATCGTGCCCCGCCCGTCTTCTTCTTCGGCTTACCGGCGACTCCTCCGACAACGGCTGTAGAGACGGTGGCAGCGTTGTTGGTGGTGGTGGTGACATTGTTGGTGGAGATGACGTCATCCGGCATTGTCTCCGCCATCTTCTTCAGGCGGCGCCGGATGATCTTCCGGGAAAACGAGCAAGACTTCTTCCCCATCCTCTCTTCTCTCTCTCTCTCTCACTACGCCATGGAAGTTTGTCGAGACTCGAGAGGGACCGACTGTGAGAATTTCAAACGACGTCATGACCGAAGATGTGCAAGCAAAGTGAGCTGTTGTGCATGAGTTCTCCAAAGCTACAAAAATTCCAATCCGACGGGTATGTGTAAGAACCACCTGACATGTCTGCATCTCGATATACGTTATCACTTCCTTGGCGAGTAGGCAGTAGCTACTAGAGTGTAGGTACAGACTACTGGGCTGAACTGTCATTCTCCCAAATTTATTTCACCGGCGGTATCTTATCTTTGCGGTATCATAGTCGAACGCGAACCACGTGTCCTCGTCATCCTGCTCGTGTGGCGTAGGACTGACGTTCATATTGACTATGTTTGGTTTAAAGGAAAAAATAGGAATAGGAAAGAAAATATAAGAAATTATGTCTATAAAGGTTTTCTTATATTTTCTTTCCTTTTCCTACTTTTTTTTCTTCAAACCAAACACAAAAAGCTCTCGTCGTGGGAAAACTGTGAGCCCGGATCTCCTGCAAGGCTGCAAGCACATACGGAAAACGAACGAAATCAAAACCAATCAAAGCCTTTGATGTATTTATGGTTGAACTAATAAAGTGACGTTTTGATGGAACCACAGCATGGATCTAAGGTTATGATTCGCAGTTTTAGCCCTGCGCCACGATGATGTCATAGTGTAGGTTAGTACATTAGTCTTCCCTCCCATCTACTAACAAAAAACTGGTCACACATCTCACACCCGTGTGATACGGGTTTTGTTAAACAAAACAAAAATTAATGCAGCGACAGAAAAAGAGCTGTGGCATCTCAATTGGGTCGAGTAAAGGCAGGTCCAATTTAAGCATTTTTTGTTTTATATACGTAGTAGTAATTAAGTATACGTATGGATTTTTTTTTATATTAATTACTTTAATTTTAGGTATATAGAAATTGAAAATTAATAAAAGTAATAATATGGTTAAAAATAAATTTAAATACTTGTACTAAATGTGTACCTGCATAAATTTTAAATTATATAACAATTATTATTATTAAAAGTAATAATATGGTTAAAAATAAATTTAAATACTTATACTAAATGTTTACCTGCTGAAATTTTAAATTATATAACAGTTATTATTATTATTATTGTTATTATTATTATTATTATTATTATTATTATTATTATTATTATTATTATTAAATTTTGTAATCCACTTCTATCTTAAATAAAAATATTTTTTATTTTAATAATTATTTTTATTTGATATGATGATTATATAACATTAGAAATCTTCAAAATTGTCTTTGACAAAACTTTGTACTTTTTTATCTTTTGTGTTCTATATTTTTTTTAAATATTTATTATTCGATTATGACATCATGAATTTCTTTGAAAAGTTGGATCATTGACCCACCATTTAAATAAGAAAATAACTTTACTTTCGGATCAGTTTTAAATTATATATTTCATCTACATAATATACATATTTTTTACTTATAACACTTAATTTTTGTTTGACATAATTAATATATAAATTTTTATATATTCTTTTGATTACTTGTACTTTTTTATTATTTTTTAAATATTTATTATTTTACTATTATATCATCGATTAATGCATTTGACCCAAACCACTAACCCACGACCCAAAAAGAAAATTTGTTTGATTTATGGGTTGACATTAAAAATTGTATTACATTTCCATTATTGATAAAATTATATCTTATGTATAATATTTATTTTTGTGATTCTTTGTATTTTCTATTTTTTTAAATTTTATTATTTGACTATGACATCATTTCATTTATATGTTGATTTTAATTTTGGCATTCCATTTTCATCATTTAGAAAAATACTTCTTACATTTCATACTTATTTTTGCTCAGTATAAAGAACATACAATATTAATGGCATGCCTAGTTCTTTTCTTTTGTATTATATAATTTATTATTTAATTTTTTATTATTTAGTTATGGCATTATTTATTAATGGATTTGACCCCAAATGGTTGAATTGCTTACCCACCACTGAGAGGAAAAAAATGGTTTTGTTTTCAAAATATTTATTTTTATATTATTAAAATTAATATTGTGGATTTAATTAGTAGAATTCAATGATGAGAAAAGTATATCCTAAATATAGAATTTAATAAGAGAATATACCTTAGATATGAGATTTAATGAGAGATAATAAGAAAATAGTTTTACTTCCAATTGGTTTTAAATTTTATATTTCATTTCCATCATTAATAAAAACATCTTATTCATAATCAATGTTTTTCAACTTGTTGTTGACTTGTTGAACTGTTCGAACCATTACTTTACCTTGATTTTAGGTTTGGTTCTGCTGACCCCCCCCCCCCCCTTTGGTTAAAAAACGTCTAACTTGGACGATTCAACCATTGACATGTTCAACCTAGTAATCAAGTCGTAGGTTATGTACTTAATTATGTGCAAACTTTTGGAAGCCATAACTTTGCACTCTAATGTCCGATTGGGATTATTTTTTTATTTTGAGTAATTTTTCAAGATCTATACGTCCCAAGGGCATTATGCACCTTGCCTTGCTATTTTTGCAAAAAAAAAATCCTTTTTTGGCCCTAAATTGCAATTGTTAATATTTTTAAAATGGAATTAAAAAACATAAATAAATGTAACATAATACATATATTATATGTAATATATGTAAAACATAATTATAAAATATATGAAAACATAACTATGATATATGTAAAACATAATTATAGTATTTATTGATAAAATATGTATTTTTACACACACACATAGTGTTGACGTAGAGCAATTTGACTTGTTTGACCTTGACAGTCGAACTGGTGGCCTATGACTCGAAGGTAGGAATGGGTCGGCCTCCGGGTCAGTTTTTTAAACATTGTTTATCATACTTATTATTGTTTAATATGGCAAATATATGATGTTAAAAACGTTCCCACTTTTTAAGGGCAATTTCCTTAAACTATCCCAACTGTTTAGTTAATTGACTAACTCCACCCTTACTATTTAGCTATTGTCTTAAAGTACCCTTAAGTTTTTTGACAATTGTCTAAAACCTCCATTGTCGTTAATTTTTCATCATACTTCGTTCACATGTGACATCATGTGAGTGGTAATTATTTTAAAATTCCTAAAATACTCTTATTGTTCACCACCGCTATTGGAAGTTTTAGCAATGGCGGTGATTTGGATAGATCCAAAAACATAACTAAAGAGAGTGGAGGAAACCCTGATCCCTTTTCCCTTTTGTTTTTGGACAGTCGAACTGCAGTAACGACGGTGATTTTGTCGTAAAAAACGCTAAAGAAATCAAGGATGAAGCCATGAGTCTGAACTTCTCTACAACTCTCTCTCTCTCTCTCTCTCCCTCTCTCTCTCTCTCCCCATTCCTTCGTTCTCTCTCTCCCTCCCTCTCGCCCCAGTCACGCAACTGCTCGCAATGTGGCAACAATGGGCACAACTCTCTTACCTGCTCCGAAGTTGTGGCCGCTTTTGAATCCATCGGTGGATTCATGTTGTTCGGTGTTCGAGTCACCAAGGACTTGATCCATAAGACAGATCCCCGATGCCTTTGAGTATCTACTTAGATTACAGTGTCTTTTGCATCTCCCAAGCTTTTTGCTAAAATACCCAAGGTCGTGCAACTGTTGGCAATTAAAGCTCCATAGATTTGCTTTTCATCCTCCATTAGTTGCCGCCCATCAAGATTAAGCTCCATAGTTCAGATTGTTGTAACTACAACATTTAATAGAAACCATCGCCGGCTCCAACTCTAGAACTAGTGTTAGAATTCAAGCTTATCATAATGCATGTGGGGCACTTGGAATGTATTGTCGTTCGCCAAACTTTTGTCGTTCGGAAGTTGCAGTGATTGTCATCGCCTACGACGACTATAGTGCTTAATCTCTGGGCATTCAGTTCAGATGAGTGAGCCCTTCGCCAGTGGTAGTTCTCTATTAAACGTCAAGAAGACAATGAATAGAGATGAAGATGGAGGAAGGAGAAGAAGATGACTTTGTTTCATCACTGCCTTAAACTTGGCAGTAGCTCCTTCTCCCCATTTTTGTTTTTTTCTTCTTCCTCTCCCTCTCTTTCCCTCGATCCAGTATATGGTTGACAAACTCTAATGCGAAACACTCTGAGAAGTTTTGGCGGTGTTCTAGTAGTACTACACGTCTGGGGTAGGGGAAAACCACTGTCTTCACCATCTTTTGGCGACGAAACACATAGTTCACTAGAAAAAGGGATCATGTATCATCATCGGAACTGCTCATCAATTGGGTTTTATTTTGAAATTTAAGGAATAGTGGAGGGCAAATTCGATATTTTGTTTCTTTCCATTAGCACTTAATGGCGATGTCAATTTTTAGAAACAGTAAGGGTACTTTAAGACAATATGTAAACAATAAGGGTACGATTAGTCAATTTTGTAAACAGTAGGGGTAGTTTAAGGAAATTTCCCTTTTTAATTTCTATATTTTTTCATTTTATTATTTAATTGTGGCAACATGGATTAGCCCATTTGACCCAAATGGTTTAATTTCTTACCACCACCTATATGTAAACACTATTTTTTCCAGGTAGATTTTAAAAGTATAAGTTTTTATGCTATTGAAACTGTTAATTTATTATGTATGTGTTTAATTATAGAATTTAATGATGAAAAGAAACAAAGAAGCCTTAAATATATGATTCAATGAAGGTGAATGCAAATTAATAACTTAAATATTGGATTTAATCAGAGATAATTGAATGCATTGAATTTCTTAAAATTAACTATTTTCAACTCATTTAATATCAATAACTAATTACCCTATTTGCCCTCATTTTTTATCAATAAATTTAAATATAAAGGGATAAATTTTGTCATCACAAAATTGTAGAAATATTCTTGAGGCTATTCGTACTTTTTAAAGTTGTATAGATTATTACATAAATTTCTATTATTACATATTCTTGAGGCTATTATTATTACATAGTATAGATTATTATTACATATTCTTGAGGCTATTATTCGTACTGCTTTTTAATATAGTATAGATTATTACA